CGCGTTGTCTTGGCGTGGTCCTGCTGCTGCTTTAGCGTATGCTAAGGTTACGACTGGGTTCAGGGTGTGCATTGACTCGTAGCAGCGATTAGTTATCTCCTCTATCTCTCACACCACAAACAAAAGGGGAGAACTCGAGTCTGTCTGTTGTCTCATGTCTGATAAATACATGAGTTGATGCCGACTGATGTCTCCAGTCTTCAACCTCTCAACTTCAACGTACTCGTTTCTTTCCACAAAGCATCATCATGGCTTCAAACAACGCAGAGGATATCGCTGAGAAGGCCACTGGAGCCAAGCTTCAGCAAGCCCCAAGTGCAACTTCCTACCGTCTCGGTGATCACAAGCCTGTTGAGGACAGTGCTGTTCGCGAGTTTTACGGGAGTGCTGTCAATGAGTCGTATCGGCTAAAGTCTGAACTTGTTGCACGCCATCTCTCAGAGATTGGTACCGGAAAGTGAGTCTTTGGCAGTTCATATGAGCAGTAAAATCCGTACTAACAGTGACGCTTCTAGGTTCCAATGGATTCTCTTCGTCGTCAACGGTTGCGGCTGGATGGTCGATAACTTCTGGTCTCAAGGCATCACCGCCGTTCGTCCCCCGATCATGAACGAATTCGACGACATTACTAGACTCAGCTTCAGTTCAGTGGCTTACTACGTCGGACTGATTGTTGGAGCCTTCTTTTGGGGCACCGCGGCTGATGTCATTGGCCGCAAGCCTGCTTTCAACTCTACAATCTTTATCGGAGCCATCTTTGCTTGTGCAGTTGCTGGGTCTCAGGACTTCATCACCTTTTGCTCTCTCTGGGCTGTCATTGGTACTGCTGCTGGAGGTAACGTCCCGGTTGACAGTATTGTCTTCCTTGAGTTTGTTCCGCAGAGTCATCAATGGCTGCTCGTCACACTGTCTGCATGGTGGAACCTTGGCCAGCTTATCGTGTCGCTTCTCTCGTGGGTGTTCCTCGCCAATTTTGCTTGCAGCAGCCCCGAGGGTTGCCGCCGACAAGATAATATGGGATGGTAAGTGGTTCACTCTGAGCACTTCTGATACATCGGACTAACAGGACGACCTCTCCAGGCGATACATCATGATCACTCTCGGTGGCATTGCTCTTGTTCTTGCCTTGGTCAGAATCTTCGTCTTTAAAATCCCCGAGTCGCCCAAGTATCTTCTCTCCAAGGGGCGGGACGCAGAGGCTGTCGAATCAGTCAACTACATCGCTCGTTACAACGGCAAACCTGAGACCTTGACACTCGAGATGATGCAGGATATCGACCGCCAAATCTACTCGTCTGCGGTTGTCTCGTCTACCGGCGAACCCGTCCACGCCATTCCGGATCAGACCGAGAAGAAGCTTTCCATGAAAGATATCCTTAAGGAGAACTTCAAGGACTTCAACATGAGCAGCTATCGCTCGCTCTTCGCCGGCCATAAGATGGCACAGCACAGTGCAGTTACGTTCTTAATCTGGCTTACCATTGGAATCGCCTACCCGCTCTACTTTGCATTCATTACTTCTTATCTTGAGTCTAAGAAAGATTACACGGCTAGCTCATCGTTCAACCACACCTATATGATCTACTGCATTGTTTCCGCTGTCGGGGTCCTCGGTCCCATCTCAGCAGGTTTCCTGGTAGAGACTCGGTTCGGCCGCAGGTGGATGATGGCTATCTCTGCCGTTCTCACCGGCGTCTTTCTCTTTGCCTACACAGCCGTTGGCACTGAAGCCGCCGACATTGGATTCCAGTGCGCCACAGCTATTCTCGGAAACTTTGGTACGTCTCTCTCCTAACCCATCTATCTCACATACTAATAAGCTATGTAGAGTACGCCGTCATGTTTGCCTTTACTCCAGAGTCTTTCCCTGGACCAGTACGAGGTACTGGCACTGGGATTGCAGCTACACTTCTCAGACTTGGTGGTCTTGTGGCATCTTTTATTTCAACATATTCTGGGTTCACGGTTGTTCCGATTTATGCAAGTGCAGCGCTTTGGATCGTCGTCGGTTTCTTCTGTCTTGGTCTTCCTTATGAGACACATGGACATGCCTCTCTCTAGAGATACGATGGGACAGTGGTTTTCCAAAACATGTAATGCCTTAGTAGTAAGGACTAGTTAATTTATATACGTTTGAGAAATGCTTGGATGCAAAACAGTGTATGTTATTTCGTAAATTCTTACTCCTTCTTATTTTCAATATGAGACCTTGACCGCATCCTTTGGTATTTAACTTCATGTGGCTTGTTAATTGTCAAGAATTAAGGGAAATAATTTCTACTTCAATAAGTCTCAAAATGGTCATCAGCATCTCCATTAAGCTTACGAAAATGTGTTAGTAGCACAATATTTTCCTTGCAATCAGGCAATATATCAGCAACGCAGACAGCTGTTCCGATGCAAGTTGAGTGATACTTTCGAGGATACTTCTAAAATCATAGACTTTTACACTCAAAATACCAGTTTGAGAAGAATAATAGAAGGCTTCGTCTTAAGCAGGCCAGGGTCCCCAAAGGCGTGTTGTGAGACTTATTGCTCTTCATATCATCAAAGACTCAAAATTCACAATTGTTACCCGGAAGCGAGACATGTATTTGACCCATAAAAGTTATAGAGCAGCCTATCGGATGTTCCGCTCATGATTCGTCAATGCTAGACTTCTTTTGTCCTAGCTGTCTTAAACTTTCCGATGCTGGTCAGACCCACCCCCATTCTTGTTCTTCCCTGTCGTCCTGCGTCTTATCAGTGGCCAACAAGAACAATAGTTGACTCCTCGCATCTGTGTACCCACTTTCATCGTTCAAAGGTGGGGGGATGGGGTACCAAGAGTCCATGCTTGGTTGCAATCGAAACAACAAAATGAACAAGGACAAAGTACATCGGCTACTAAAGCTTCAGCATCCATAGCTACTTGATCTATCAATTCCAAGTGCAATCAGGCATCTATCTTTCCAACAGCCTCAAGCCTCCTGAAAGCTTGTTACGTTCTCTCTCCCGATTTTTATCCGCTCCCCCTACAAAGATGCCTATCGCAGTCACACCGCCCGCGGCGCACGCTGCGCTGAAGGACACTGTCTTGTTCTCGCCCTTGAAGCTTGGCAAGCTCAATTTGAAGCATCGAATTGTCCAGGTATGTAGTGAAAGTCAATTACTTATCCGCGAAGAAGGACCTAACAACATCCTTCCAGGCACCTAACACTCGCATGAGAAGTGAATTCGAGTCCCGTGGAGTTTATGTCCCTGGCCCTCGTATGGCAAAGTACTACAGCGATCGCTCCAGTGACGGCGGTCTTCAGATTACGGAGGCGACCGACATTGCCCTGAACGCTAGTGCTTACCCCGGTGTTCCTGGCGTCTTCACCGACTCCCAACTACAGGGATGGAAGAAGGTAACTGACGCTGTCCATGCCAAGGGCGGGTTTATCTTCACTCAGCTGTGGCACACTGGCCGGGCGTCCTGTAGTACTCAGCGGGGTGGTGAGAGGGCTGTGTCTTCTGGCGATCAGCCCATGCCGGGTACATACCTGGATGGCACTGATACCAAGGATGACCCGCCTCGAGCCTTGACAGTGGACGAGATCCACAGCATCACTACCGAATGGGCAGCCGCAGCCAAGCGAGCTGTTGAAGTTGCTGGGTTCGACGGTATTGAGATACATGGTATGTGTGCACACAGACTCTGTACTTATAACCTCTTGCTAACTGTTGGGATCAGGTGCCAACGGTTATCTTCTTGAGCAGTTCCTTCACGACAACATCAACAACCGCACTGATGAGTATGGCGGCTCTGTCGAGAACCGATGCAGATTTCTGCTCGAGGTTCTTACTGCATGCTGTGATGCTATCGGTGCCGACAAGGTCGGGCTTCGACTTTCGCCTTACAATTACTTCCAGGGCACCAAGGATAGTGATCCCAACGCACATTGGTCTTACCTCTGTGGCCAGATTGCCAGTCTTCCAGATAACCACAAGCCTGTTTACGTTCATATGTAAGTCATATTCACCACTGAAATAACGTCAAAATGACTGACGATAATTAGGATTGAGCCACGTTTTGACGAGGTTCTGGATGAGCAGCAAAAGCTCGCCGCACTTGCCAACGGCAGCAGTAAAGATGGCACTGCTGCTCAAGTTGGCAAGCAGGTAAACTCTCTCAACATATTCCGCAATATTCTCCAGCCTTCTGGAATTCTATTCCTAGCCTGCGGAAACTTTAACCGAGACAACGCTCCCACCAAGATCAAGAGTCAAGAGGCTGACATGGTCGCAATGGGCCGGCATTTCATTGCTAACCCTGATTTGGCTGAGAGATTACAGAATGGTTGGCCTCTTAACGCCTATGACCGCAGCACGTTCTACGGTGCTGATCCTCCTGAAAAGGGCTACAATGACTATCCTTTTTACAACCCCTCACAAGAGGTGAAGAGTGAAGCATAAAGTGGGAGTCTTATGGTGGAGGTTGGTACAATAGACTAATTGGCATGAGCAGCTTAGCTGTAATAAATACACACTTGCTCACATGATTCCAACTATACCAAAAAAAGTGACAGAGAAGGCTTATCTCGTCAAGTGCAACTAGTCGACTCTTGGTCTTTGCAGAAAAGAATTGAAAGCAATCAATCGTGGTCGACGCCACTCTGTTACAAAGATCATCATCTATTGCCGCCACCGCTAACCATGAATATTATTGATTATTTAATCCTCCTTATTCATTTTCATTTCCTTTGTCGTTCCAAATACACCTAGATCTAATCTTCCTTGCATCCCTCGCTATCGATAGGCAGTACATGCATATCTGGACCCTTCTGACATCCCAGGCCAAAAAAGGTCGATGTTCCTACAGATGACTCTGCAAAGAGTTTGAAGTGTCTTTGCTTCCATAGGAGGAAACAATACGGCATGGCCCTCCGAAAAGTGCTTAGACAATATTATGCAACTTTTAAGTGTCTTATTGGCCAACTAACAATACCTCAGCTAGATAGAGTACAGTGCTTGTAGTTTTAGAGACTTGCTCTCAGTGAACCACCACTGGCCTCAGACTCGAGCTGCGAGAACTTCTCATCAACATCCTTCCACATATCATACGTCAACAACCACCGTCCAACTCCATGGTATCTCCAAGGAAATGGATCCTCTCCTGTCTCTGACGACTGCGGGATGATTGGATTCTCCCCACCGAGCCACTCTTCATCCCACTTTCCATATTGTCTGAACCGTTCATCTCGCTGCCTCTGCTCTTCGCCATCTGGCAGATGATATATCCACTGGTTGTACGTCCCTCTTTGCACAACCATTTCCGTGCGCTCTCGTCGGCATGCCTCGTAAACAGCTAGAGCCTTTACCTTTGAGGCCGGCGATTTATCGGTAAGCTTAGCGAGACAAAGTCCAAGGACGCCGCCGTCTTCTAAAGCCATACCGGCACCACTGGCAAGATATGGTAGCGTCGCATGGACAGAGTCACCAAGCATGGTGAGGGCTCCTGAAGGGTGTGACCAAGTCGGGTCGAGGCCAGGTCGAATGCATAATCTCCACTTGAGAACAGAGTCACATAGGTTGAGCATCTTCCCGATGCGAGGGTCCCAATCCGCGAAATGGGCTCTCATCTCTTCGATGTTGCCCTTCAAAGTGTTGCCGCTGTCGAGTGGGATGTCATCTGGCACTAAGAGAACCATGTTGAAGAGTTCTCCTCCTTTCAGTACGTAGTTGACTGCATGTTTGTCGGGGCCGACCCAGTAGTTAACTTGGGGATCCTCCACGAATGGCCTCAGGTCTGGGTCCTTTCTCATCTCGTCTGTTGACAGTAGCAACCGGTAGGCCAAGTCGCCCGTCAATTGTGGAGGATCGGATCGACCGAGGAACTGCTCTCTGAGAGAAGAGGCGATGCCGTCAGCACCGACGACCAAGTCAGACTTCATCGTTTGGCCTCCTTCTAGAAACACAGTTGCGTGGCTGTTGTCGGCCGCTATCTCGTAAGACAAGACTTTAGATCCGCAAATGATCTTGGCCCCTAGCTCTTGAGCTCTATCTAGAAGTGCTTTATGCAGAGTCGCGCGGTGGAAGTCGAGGAACGGGTATCCTCCCGAGGCAGCCGCATAGCCATGATAGTCCATTTCTGAGAGATGGTTCCCTTTCCAACCAATGAAGTTGCATTTTCTTGGCTTGGTAGCATTTTTAACCAATTCCTTCTCGAGGCCCCAGGAGAAGAGAACTCGAGCAGCGTTGGGAAGGACTTGGATACCGGCACCGACTTCGCCAATTGCTGGTGCAGACTCCAAAACCGTGACATCATGGCCGGCGAGACGGACAGCGATTGCAGCACCGAGACCACCGAGGCCAGCTCCTACAATTATCACCTAAATACACATTAATTTTGGAAGTGTCTTGGGATATGGAGTCTTGAACCTACATGAAGCTTGCTTGAATCACTCCTCTCCATCACTTCCTGTATCTTATAGTTGGGCATGTTGTCTCTAGTCCGCTAGATCTTGATTGGCAATGGGTAGAGGTGATAATATCCAGCAAGAGGTCTCTATATTCGTATTAAAGGTATATGTGATGCAGTCTAGGTCTTGTGGCAAAGCAGACACAAGTGGTGGTGCCATGCACTGCTTTGTCCGATTTACCAAGGCGATTGCCGATATGCTCGTGTCTTTACGTTCTGGGAATAGATAGCCATCGCTAGCTCAAGCACGGATCTCGAACCCGAGTTCCTTTATCCACTCACCCATGCCCGTTAGCATCCTCCCACTTATCAAGATAATGTGCGGGGAAGATGATAAGGGTGGGGATTTGGTAGCACTGTGGTGGAGTCCAGCCAGGCCTATCACTTATCAGAGTTACACTACTAATCAGCCAGAGTTCAACGGCATTCGGCAATTCCTCCCACTCTAGAACCCAGACGTTCCCTCACTCTATCCCTCGTTCATCTTTAACATTTCCCACCTCATCCCACTCTACAGCCATGTACGGAGCCGACGACGAGCTGTCCCTAGCGGTCGATGCGTTTCTTACAGAAGCCATGGGTCGTAAACAGACACAATCGCAGGGTCAATCAGAGACCTCTCGGAGAGGTTCTGGTTCTGCAACCTCACAGCCAGCTCCTCAGAGTGACAAGTCGTTTGAGTGCACTCATCCGGGCTGTAGCAAGAAGTTCACCCGCTCCGAACACCTACAGCGACATGCTCTCAATCACTTGCCGGGCGGTTCTTCATGTGACATATGCCGTGCACACTTCAAACGGCCTGATTTGCTGAGTGAGTGACCATGTTGTGTATAGCTGAGTCAATCCAAATTTGTTCTTACGTATCCAAAGGGCGACATATGGAAAGACATCGCCAGAAGGATCTAGAGGCTGGAGGAACCGGCTTTGGCGTTCTCGATACACGAAAGAGATCTTGGGAAGCACCCGACGGTACGGTCGTTGAAAAGCGACCGTGTCGGAACAGCAACTCGAAAGCTAAGACTGCCAAGGGTTCAGGACAGAGCCCTCAAGAAACACAGCAAGTCCCATCTCCGGAATCAGACCAAGCAGATAATACAAGGAATCAATCTCCTGGGCTGATCACTTGGGGCCACAGCGAAGACCAGTCAGTGCATGGAGTCAATCTTCATTCCTCATCCGACTTGCATATTGAAGACTCTATCTTTGTTCACTCCACGGGTGAACTGGTTACAGACGACCAGTTGGCCAACTTTACCACCTCAACCGACCAATTTGACCACGGTGAAGGCATAGGCGAGTTCTCATTCGACCAGCTTGACCCTCTACTCCTCAACGAGTCGTTCGTGGATAACACGGCACTTGATTACACGCAAAACTTTCAGCCAGATACCGCCAGCTCGTTTAACATGCCCTATACGACTGCGTTGGATTACAACTGGCTGTTTAACATCAACTTGAACCAAACATCAACACCTCTTACGAAGGCAAACGAGCAGTACATACCACCCGCCCAAATGTCGGAGCCCGTTCAGATATTATCACCAGACTCTATCAACAGCACACGCCGTTGGTCTGAGTCGGTACAATCTCACAACAGTGATGCGAGGAAAGATGCACCTAATCCACGAACCGCCGTCTTGAACCATATCAAGACAACTCCAGAGAGCCTTGTCAGCTCTATAACTGAGTCTACAACGCCAACGCAACATAAAAGCGCCAAATCATTGAATTCTCACGGCGCCCATGATCAACAGCACGTCGAGGAACCACAATTTAACAGGCCATTCTCGATGCTTGACAAAGGTCAGCCGATACCAAAGATTGACGAAAGCGTGCGCAAACGAATCCTTCAAGTCGTCGAGACTGCAAACCCATCTTTACCAGATTCCCGTCACTCCGTGTGGGATGAGCCACTACTGTCCCGAGACTCCCTACAAACGTACCTAGAATTGTTCTTCGTAAAGTTCAATACTGCCTACCCACTCATGCACCTTGCAACCTTTGATGTGACCAGAATGGAGCCACTGCTTCTCATCTCCGTCCTCCTCCTGGGCTCAACATACTCTTCCAAAGACGCCCATCAGCTGGCTGTGTGCATCCACGATGTTATAAGGCCTAGCATCTTTTCTCATGCTAGCTTTTCAGCTCGTGCAGAACTTTGGACTCTGCAGACTATCCTTCTAGTGGAATGCTTTGGAAAGTCTCGTGCTGGACAGAAGCAGCACGACATGAGTCATCTCTTTCATGGGCTTCTTATAAATCTTATTCGCAGATCCGACTGCCAGTCGGTCCGCCCTCAAGGGCCGCCTGTTGACTGCGACGATACAAGAGAGTTTGTAGTTCGAGAGGCTTGGCGACGATGGGCAATTGCAGAACAAAAGAAACGGTAAGCCACTCAAGAAGCCTCTTAATATTAGCATCCAGCTGACGTATAATTATAGCCTCGCACTTCTGTGCTTCATGTGGGATACACAGCATGCAGTTCTGTTCTGTCAGAGTCTGTGCATGTCCGCATTTGAGCTTCGCCTTGAACTGCCATGTAGCCAGAGAATATGGGAAGCTTCAGACCCAATATCGTGGGCAATGGCATGGCGCTCATCAGCCTGCAGTTCCCAGCAGAACTTCTACCTTCCCAGCCTCAAATCATATCTCGGGCCGTCAGTGCCTCGTCCAAAAGCATTGACAGGACTGTCTCATGTACTTATGCTGCATGGCTTGATGTCCATCGCTTGGGATATGCAGCGTCGCGATCAGACATCGCTCGGAGTAGTGGATGGTGATGGACCCGGATCCAACTGGCGGAAGCTCATAGGGAACGCTTATGACGCTTGGAAGAAGGACTTTGATGCTTACATAACCTCAATTATTTCTCGACTCCAGAATACACCTGAGGATCAGGCCAGAAGGAGCGAGTACGTGGCATTTGCCACTGCATACAATGCTTTGTTTCACTCAGCACAAGCACTTCTTCATATGGAATTTCTCGACATACAGATTTACGCTGGTGCGCGCCATATCTTGGGTCGACCAGTCCAGCAGAAGGACTATCGTCGCTCCGCAAAAGCGGTCAAACAGTGGGCTTCAGTGACAGAACGACCAGGCAAAGATCAACCTTCAGAAGCCGAACACAATATGAGAAGCCACAAGAGGCCAGCATCTGTGGCTGCATGGCATGCATCACGGCTGCTTCATGAAAACACGAAAGTGCTTACTCGGTCAGACGCAATGCAGCTTTTCCACGTCCCCTGGTGTCTATACCTTGCAACTCTGGCATGTTGGGCATTCTGCCACGGTCAGTCCAATAGAGGAGGTATGCTAGATATAGACGACGATGCTGATGACAGTGATGACGAGAGTGATGAGATCATCTGGGATCCTCGAGGGGAAATGCATAGCCTTGTGTCAAGAATGGCTCGGCATGGGCCTGAAAGTATGGATGTGAAGCCAAGCCAACAACGTCAGATTGTGGGGCTTGTCTGGACTATGGCTGAGACGCTGAGCAAGGTTCGGTGGGGGATCTTGCATGCTGGAGTTGTTGTGTTACGAGGGTTAATACCGCAAAGACTTATCAACCAGTATGATGAGCCCCATGATGATGCTTTTTGAACGAGACATATGTATTTTAATAGAAATATAGCATACCACTGCTCCTATAAGCAACATTAAATGGCCAATACTTAAGTTTATTAGTTACACTTTACACCTATCCTTGGACCTAGTAATCTATAATTCTATTTGGAAAGACTTCTTGATTGCCGCGCTGAGGCGTTGAACTGCCGTACACATATCCCCCTCAGCCGCGCTCGCAAATGTGACACGTAGAAACAACCCCTTCAGTTCCTTATGCGGCTCGGCTCGGAACCACGAGCCACGAGCAAAGAGAACTCCCTGGTCAATGCTGTTCTGGAAGATTTCCACTTCAATTTCCTCCAGACTTCGCCGCTGGTAATCTGGGTGTTTTGTATGATCAAGTTTCAACCATAGCTATTACAACAGTCAGTACCTCTCTCCAGCATTAAAGTAAAAATCAAGGAACTTACAAACATCCCAGAAGCTGGAGGGACCCATGATGCAATATCCGTAGGCAGGTAGTCCTCGCAAGCTGCAAGTAAGGCATTGCGCCTTCTAGCATAGCTCGTCCTTAGATCAATGAGCCACTTGAGATAACCCTCGTGACCCCATGCCTCGTCCACCAGTTTCCAAATGATTAGCTGTGATATACCGCTAGGCCCCTGATTTGCAACTTCAGCATGACAGAGATACTTATGGATTACCTCCTTGCTAGCAGTTATCCAACCCATTCTCGAACCAGGGACTAGGACTTTGGAGAAGGAGTCCATTCTAAGGACTCGGCCATCTACGTCCATGCTGAGATATGTTGGGACAAGTGTAGTGAGGAACTCGTCGACAGTCTCATCCCCCACAACTTCAATCCCTCGTCCCCTGTAGGGCTTCATTTGGATGAAGTAGTAAGGCTCGTCTTCGATGATAAATATGTCGTGTTTCTGGCAAACTCTGTAAATCTCACGTCGACGCTCGAGGCTCTGAGTCGCGCCAGTAGGGTTCTGTCCCGAAGGCACGGTATAAAGGAGATGCGGCTTCCGAGCACCTCGGGCCCCTTCATCCCAAGTCTCTAGAATGTGATCCATATGACCGGGCAACAGTCCCTGCTCGTCCATATTGATCCCAAAGACCTTTATGCCCTGTGGAACAAAGGTCTCCATCGCCGTCGCAAAGGTGTAGTCCTCAGTAAGGATGGAATCATTCCTGAACCGGTCGCAGAGCATACGAACGGTCTGCTCCAGAGCTGCTGTGCTTCCAGTGGTCAGGCAAACTCCCCAATCTGAATAAGGCGGGTTATAGACAAGGTCAACGTGTTCTGTAACCCAGCGCATCATCTGTGGGGATCCTGTTGCTTGGCCGTAGTTGAAGGCAATAGATATGTCAAAGTCCGAGGTGCCGTCCCTGGTGTCGTATTTACCAATGCGAGCTATCTGGGCGCCGCTAGCTGGTGAGTCGAG